CTCACACACACACACACACACACTCTCTCACACACACACTCTCTCACACACACATACACACACACGAGCTCATCACTGATCTGACGCCACCAGAACTCGTCTCTGATGATCTGTGCATGGACTCACCCACAATGCTCTTCTCAGGAGCAGGAGGAACGATGTAGCCGATGTGCATGTACTTGGAGGCTAATTTACTGTGCAAACCCAGAAAATCGCTGAAGCGCCTCTTGACGCAGACCTCGTCTCTGCTGAATATGGACAGACTGGTCTGCAAACAGAGAAAGAGAGTCACACACGTCCTCCAGGAGATCCACAACATCTCAGACCAGAACCTAAAGCTTTTCTTACTTTGGTCAACACTTTATAGACCATGTACGCATTCATGCCGTCACCTAGAAAAACAAAGAAATTAATCAGCATGTGTGCACAAATACACAAGGAATTGTGGTTTCCAAAAGCTCTGGGCAAAAATAAATAAATTGATAAATTAATAAATTAATTAATTAATTAAAAAAGTAATGCTAAACAGAAATATATATATAATTTTTTTTCCAGGAGCTCTGGGAAAATAATAAATAAATAAATAAATAAATTAATTCAAAAAGTAGGGCTAAACAGATATATATATATATATATATTCAGGAGCTCTGGGTAAATAAATAAAAAATAAATAAAAATTTACATGACATACATAAAATAAATAAATAAATAAATATATATACATATATATATATATATATATATTATAAACAAATACAATAATTTAAATAAAAATGTATAATAAAATACAAATTTTATATATATCTATATATAGAAACACAGAGAGTTTCATTTATTTTCCGGTGCTGTAGTCGCGAATCCTGCACCTGATAACATTTGAAAAGGTCTATCGATTCACATTTCATCCTCAAACACCTTACCAACTTTCTCAGGGTCAGAAACGGAGATCTGGATGTCAAACGTGTCCCTGTTTTCCTCTTCATCTTCATCCTAGAGAGGAAGAGTCCAGTGAACGTGAGAAACGAATGAGACTCAGTGAGTGTGTGTATCATCATCTCTCAGATACGAGATCACAGTAAAGCACATGAGTGCACACGGCGCTTCACCTGGTCCGGCGAGCGGTCGAACACGTCTGCTCTGGGGTTAATCGTGACGGGTGTGACGGCGGGAGACGGACCGTCTGACAGGATCATCTGCCGCTCTGGACTGTCCAGAGACACTTCCTCCGTCGCTTCTGAAAGAGAGAGATAATGTGAAAAAAAATCATGCACAGATGCTCAGTTCAGTTGATTATTAACAAAGTGTGAGTTGTTATGCAATAAACACTTCGCGTCTGCCTAACAACGCCCCTTGGCTGTTATAAATTCTCTGTAAACCACGGCTTCACGGGGCTTATTGCTTTTATAAAACGGTTATTCCATATACGTAGTTAGGTTTCACACAATAAAAAAGAGCAAATAAAGTGTAATGATATTAATAAAAACAGTATTCTTCCACCAAACAATGTAGCTCCTCAGAAACAGTTGTGGTTGCTACAAAGTGGTTGCCGAGCAACACACAAACGTAAACAAAGGTGTATGTTACTTTGTAGCGTCATTTACAACAGCTTCGAACGCGGCTCAGCCAATCAGAATCAAGCACCGGAACTATCTGCTTTATAATACGCCATTTACTATGCAGTTCAAAAGTTTGGGGTCAGTGAGATTTTTATTGTTTTTCAATAAAGTCTCTTCCACTCACCAAGGTTGCATTTATTTGATTAAAAATACAGTAAAATTGTGAAATATTATTACAATGTAAAACAGCTGTTTTCTATGTGAATGTGTTAAACTGTAATTTATTTCTGTGATGTGCAGCTGTATTTTCAGCATCATTACTCCAGTCTTCAGTGTCACATGATCTTCAGAAATCATTCTAATATGCTGATTTGCTGCTCGAGAAACATTTCTGATTATTATCAATGTTGAAAACAGTCATATTTTTATGGAAACCGTGATTCATTTTATTTTTCAGGATTCACAGATGAATAGAAAGTTCAAAAGAACAGCATTTATTTGAAACAGAAATCTTCTGTAACATTATAAATGTCTTTACTGTCACTTTTGATCAGTTTAATGCGTCCTTGATTAATAAAAGTATTGATTTCTTTCATTAAAAATAAAAAAACATACATCGCACTGAACACAAACGCTTGAGCAGTAGTGTTCTGCGAGCCAATAGAAATGGAACGTTCTCAAAACGGTCCAATCCTGAAGCTCCACATTCTGAACACGTAAATGGTTCATTTGAACTGTCATATTCACAAACTCTGAGACTGACGAATCACACACCAGCGAAGAGGTCGTCGGGGCCGGGGTCGT